CTCAAACTAGCAGAATATTTTAAAGTTTGGGACAAATTGATGGGTTTCATATTTCAACAGAAGTATTTTTAAAAATATTTTTGGGCATAAGCTTGCATTTTGTGCGGGGGGTAGTGTGGTGTGTTTGTCTTTAATAAGCAAAGTTTGTGATGCATGAGAATGAATATACAAGATTTATTTACTGTAGCCACCACAGGCTGGCTGAGTTTCAGCTTTACCAAAGCTCTCTTACAAATAATGCTAAGGCTTATTTAAATTCACCATAAAAAGCAGCAAATATCCACTCTAATTTAGCCCCATGACTTGGGCAATAAACAAATTCCCCACTTTTTATGAGTTTTAAATCCATGCATACCTCCTAGCTTCTTCTTTCTGTTGCTCTCTCCAGCTGCTCTCCATATAACGTAAGGCATAATCACTTTCATCTTTGTATCTGGAAATCAAATATTAGTTTTCAGCACACTAAAAAACCACAGTCATGTACAATTCAGTTATGAACTCCCATCACTTAGAAAGAATTATCTTGCCACACATGGATTTTAAAGTTCTGAAAGAATCTAAATTACAAGCCTTTAAAAAGCTTGCTTTCCTATACTTTGTCAGACAAGAGGGAAGTACTTAAATAAGCCAAAGAGCAGCCTTCATTTCCTAGCAGTTCCTAGTCATACAAAGTTAGATGCACTTACAGAGCAGCTAGCACTATTGCATTTAGCAGTTCATATTCAGGCAGCTACATCTGATGAATTCTGAAATACTGCAGACTGCTATAGAAACCATTTTAACACCCAGTAACAGGAAAGAGTTACTATGATCTTATCCCGGCAAGACACTGAAGAAGCTGTGTTGTTTTCCAACTGTGTTCTTAGTGTGTCAAACTTTATTGAGCGCGGCAGCAGTGTGAAAGTTCAAGATCCCTTCAGCACAGAAGCAGCTCTAACGATTGTTAAATTTCTGCAATACAAACCCATTTTCGGATACCAGCACTTCCTCTATTTCGAAAACATTTGTATTTGTTGAACTACATTAATTTCTGTTGTTCTGTTGCTTGTCCTGCAATATCTTAACATTTTCTTACCTTTTCCGGTCGTAGCCAAATATTTCCCGAATATGTTTTGATATTTCTTCTTGGGGTTCCCCTTCATCTTCAATGAAATCATCCATTTCAGAGTCATATTCATCATCATCATCATCATCATCTATTTGTCTCTTGTAACTAATAGGTGGTCTCCCAACACCTAAGTGACAAAGGGACAAAAATCATTAATTAATAGCATTAATATAACCTTAATTTGACAGTACTTCTCCTCATGCCTTGGACACAGCAACTTTACAGTTCTGGGCTTCCAGGTGGAAAACTTCTGCCTCAAGTTAACAAGCAATTCTCAGAAACACAGTAACAGGAAACACTTCCCTAAGTTGTGCTATAGAAGATTACATCTTACTATCACCAATGACACCATCCTGAGGAAACTACCAGGCAGAAGTCTATGTTCTTGTTCAGGGTTTTCTAGGCACTTATTTGCTAGAGTTCATGCTGCTTGTTCCTGTTCACAAACAGCTCTTCAGAATAGCTTGCTTACTGGTAAAGTGAATTTTCCAACACACGTACGTTTCAGTCACAGGTTTGCTGTGTGGTTTTAGTTTTTATGCACCACTTAAAACATCTGTTATTTAAGACATTGGAATTTTAAAGACTAAGCATAATTAAACAATACAGGAAGTGAATCTTTCAATTCTTTTCTTTCTAAAAGCATTCATATACCAACATCCATCATAGGCTGCTTAGTTTTCTTTCATGTAGTACTTCACACCCCAGTCTGGATTTCAAGAAACATGAACATAGGTAAAAACAAACTAGAAGTTGCAAAGCAGAAAAAAGCATTCTACTGTTAAATATGGTATTTTGTCCAAGACTTCCTAATTGCATCTTAAATTGTCAAATTGTCAGAGACAAATACATACATACACTAAGAATATAAACCAAATAACTGAAAATGTCCTACCTTGTGGATGAAACACAGGTCTATGTCCTTGAAAAGATCTCATGCCATTTATCTGTCCATTGCTAGGTCTTGTGACAAAGTTTTTAGAAGAAATAGTTTCTGATACAACAGTACACTTCGGTTTTACAGTGGTACCCAAGCCACTGCCTGGTCGCCCAAGTCCTGCACTTGGGCTGATGCCTGGCCTTCCTGGTCCTGTTCCCAAACTGCTGCCTGGTCGCTTGGCTCCCATGCCTGGACTGACTCCTGGCCTTCCTGGTCCTGTACCCATGCTGCTGCCTGGTCGTCCAGGTCCAGTACTTGCGATGATGCCTGGCCTTCCTGGTCCTGTTCCAAAACCACTGCCTGGTCGCCCAGGTCCTGTACCCATGCTGTTGCCTGGTCGCCCAGGTCCTGTGTTTGTGCTGATGCCCGGCCTTCCTGGCCCAGTGCCCAAGCTGCTGCCTGGTCGCCCAAGTCCTGTGCCGGAGCTGCTGCCTGGTCGCCCAGGTCCTGTGCTTGAGCTGCCTGCTGACTTTCCAGGTTTCATGCCAGAGCCGCTGCCCAGTCGCCCAGGTCCAGGGCTTAAACCACTCCCCGGCCTTCCAGGTCCCACACCAGAATTGCTGCTTGATCGCCCAGGTCCTGCACTTGAACCGCCACCTGGATGCCCAGGTCCTCCTTTCCCTAAGCTGCTGCCTGATCGCTTTGCATTGGAGTTGATTCCATGCTGAAGGGCTGCAGCGTTTCCTGGTTTTGTATGGGCAGACTTTTTCAGGCTGGATTCTTTAGCAGATGGAGGCCTTTGAGCCCCATTGGCTGCTGCCTTTGAGGGTGGCACATAAGAACTTGAGCTGGACTTCCCAATACCATTGACAGGTAATTTGCCATGACTGCTACCAGAAGAGCTTTTTAAGGAGCCATTATGCAAGGTTTTTTCCATTTGATCAAATCTGGTGGAAGATAATGACCGCGAGTGTTTCTCGGTCAATGCTGGTGGTTTGGATTTCTTATGAGTACCACTCATAGAAGACGTCAGACTGCTTTTTGGTGTGGAATGTTTATCTACTGAGCTTTTGTTAAGTTTTGCATTTACAGATTCTTTCTGAGAAGTCACTTTTTTTGAAGAACTGGATATCCCTGTATTCTTAATCTCCTTCTCGCTTTTCCTGTGCATTTCTACTCTTTTGTTTTTGCGTCCCAAATACTCCCTTTCTCTCAATTCTTCTGCTGTTCTGGGTCTCTCTTCTACTTTTTTCACTGGTTTTATTTCCACCGGTTCATACTGCTTTTTTTCAGCAAGCCTTAAGAGCTCTGCAAAGTTCAGAGGTGCTGGTGCACTTTTGGGAGGTGCCTTTGGTTTCACTGCAGCTTTGGATGGTTTTTCTTCATATTCTTCTTGCTCATGCTCAGATTCAGTGTGACTATATTCAAGCTGCTCAGTTTCCTCTTCTGTTGCATACTCAGCCTCTGAGGCTTGAGCAACATTCTCACAAGTCTTCCTCTTTTTAGGCTTCTCTTCAACAGGAATGACATTATAACCATAAAAATTATCCTTTGTCCGTGAGGCCATGGCTCTTGCCTTTCTGTCATGTTTCAGTTCAATGCGTCTAGCCAAGAGTTGTTCTTTCTTTCTTCTTTCTTCCAGTGCTGTAAAAGAAAACCAGGAGGAAGTTATGCAAAAGCACTCCTTTCTATTTAAATTTCTTCCAGATAAGACATTTAGGACAGTAATTTAGGTATCTGGCTAACAGCTGTTCAAAATAGACCATAGTTAACCCATCTGAACAAGCTATTCTTACAAACAAAGGTGAACAATTAAGTCACATACTGCTACTGCAAACCCCACTAAGGTTATTTAACCAATGCAGCTCTCCAGAAAGCTATGCAAACCAAGGAGAACTACTGCGTGAGGAGGTACAGGGCTTACGGAATTTCTGGGTAATGGAAGGAGTTTTGAGACTGAGCAAGAGAACCGTGAGATGGTACAGAATTTACTGTCAGATGTTTATGGGAAGATGAGGAAAGGGAGGAAATCAAAGAGCATTGGGGGGATAAGAACTGGAGAAAACACTAAGTGTGTAAAAGGGTATAAAAGGGAGAGAGGAGTCAGCTACAGATAAGCAAACTGGTGGTGGCTAAATTTGTCTGATAGAGCCCTGTGCCCTACCTCCACGGTCTGTCCTACATTTTTACTGAACTGTTTTTCAGCTGTTTTCTTCATAGCTATACTCTCTATCTCAAGTCCACGTGTGATCTGCTGACATAAAATTCAGGCTGAACTAGCTGGTGAATAGGATGAGAGGTTTGAATGTCAGACACTGGGGAGACCAAGGGAGTGAAGGCCAGATACCAGAAAAAAAATCAGGAAAAGCATCAATTCCTAGAAAATGGATTGGGCTACTCATGCTTTGGGTGCCTGTAAAGGTACCCCTGCCTATGTTATTCTATTGTCAAGGGCCATGACTGTACAGAGTGTGTGTGCCTGCATGCCTATGTAGAATTCATGTTCAGTCTTGCTTCTGGCTGGACCACAATACAGGGATAAGGAGCACGCTCATTACTGGACCAGAAGAGGAATAACACCTCAGTCACCCAGTCCATCAGATTTGGTTACCTTTAAGAAAGCACTAACATCAGAAGCAACACAGTATTAGCTTATTTTACAGACTATTTAAAGGAAATATAATACAGTGGAAAAATCGTGGCACAAACAAAGCTGCTGCCATACAAATGTAAAATTCAGACTGCATCAATACACTAGATTAAGACACAATAACAGGAACTCTTACCATTTTTTCCACACACAAGATTTTTCAAAGTTAAGTTACCAAAGTCCAAATGACTTCTTGCAATACCTCTTCTCCTTAACTGCCTTTCTATCTCCGACAGTAAATGCTAGTGTAGCTGATATTTAACTCATGCATAAAATTTCTAGTCCTTACTTAGTCCTGGCTTTCCCTCAGCACCTGTTAGGTACATAAATTCCAGAAGCAGATGTGTAGCTGTATTTGCTAGAGCTTTTCGTAGGGTGACAGAGTCTCAAAGAGGCAATGGAATTCTCCCATAGGAAATATTTTGAGCTGCTACCTTTTTTTCTTTTTTCTTCTTCTTGCCGTCTGAGGAATGCTTGCACTGCTGCAGACTCTACACCCTTGACTTTCGGAACCTTTTTGGGAGGACCAACAGCCAAACTGTACCTTTTCTGTAAAGAACAAAGAAATATGTCAGAAAAATTAAGAAATGTAAAATTCTTAAAAGTTTTTAAAACCGACGAGTTGCATAACAGTCATATACTTGACTTTAGGCAGGGACGGTACAGGTGTCCTGGGTTCGGCTGTAGCAGTCATTTTTCTGAACCCAGGACAACAGGATAAACTCACATGAATTCCCACTGAAGCAGAGTTGTGATGGATACACTTGACGCCCAGCTGTACTTCGGTTCAGGTTAAGGAGCAACAGGCCTCATATCCTGGGGGTGAACTTGCGAGCTAGAAAGCCCCTGGTTCTCATACAAGGAAATGAAGGTGTCTTGAAAAATACTTTGAAAGGTGGTTTTGAAACCCAAAAGTGCAAGATAACCAAAGTACAGAACAAGATACCAGAGCTAAAATGAAAACATCCATCTTGTCTGTGTTATTGACTAGCAGCCAACAACTTATCTCACCCTAAAAATATTATCATTAGGATGGGTCCAATTTGAGCTCTCCCTGAACTGCACGCCTGGTGACTCCCCTTGAGCATGGACACCTCTCAAGGTTAAAGATCCCTTACCTGAGACTAAAAGATCCTTCCTTACCCAGGGTGGAGAGATCCCTTACCAACAACAGATCCTCAGTGCCTAACAGCATGCTGAATTAATATTACAAAATGTTACTAATCCACATAGCTATTCAATATTATTATAAACATCATATGGATAATTCCATTAGACCTAAACCATTGACCAAATCTAAGACTAAGACTGGAACCAGCCACAGCTGGGCTCCAAAAGTGGTTCAGAAAGCAAGAGGGTCCACTCTGAACCTTATGATTCAATGGGAGAGTCCTCCTTACTCTTTGTGCCTCTGGTCTGTGTGAATCATTCTAAGCCAACTTGAATTCAATTTTCCTTCAAATGTGCCTTCCATGCAGTAATTCATAAGGTGAACCTTGCCATCAAACTCACTGAACCTTGTCAAACCACTGTTAAACTTTGTAAAATTCCATGGAACTTCCTGAGCTCTGTCAAATTATTACTTCCCCTCACTAAAATATATTGCTGTTTCTCTCTAGCAAGGTGCGTTCCAGTCATCTGCAACAAGAGCACACTCAGCTTTTGAAGGAATGAACAGGAAACCAGAAGACAGGTAGGGAAACCAAGGGAAATGAATGAAATGCACTGGACTAAGAAGGAATGCAACAACTGTATCAGTAATGAAATACAAACATTTCAGTCCAGCCTTAGTCTCTGATAAAGCACGAAACAAAAGCAGACTAAAGCCCAAGCTGCCAGAGTCTGTGCAATTCCAGGCCCATTTTGTGGACACTCAGTTTCAGGTTGTCTTAATGAACAAATAAATTGACTCAAAACATTTAGTTACTCCAAAAGTAAATGGGAACTGACTTTACCAATGTAACTAGTAGATGGATCTAAACCCAGTGATACTGGTTTCAGTTGTTGCTGCAGTGATCTTAGACTGTTGTACATTAAGGAGTTAAGTGATCCACATACCAGCTGACCTGAATTGGTACAGGCATGCACACTACTATACTTATCACTCGGGACAACTGGATGAACTCAGCAGACTAATGGTGACAGAATATGCAGCCCCCACTTGGCACCTGGCAATCATGCCAACTGCACATGGTGTAATTTGCCTGGAAAAGAGAAGGCTCCAGCAGAAGACCTTGTTGTCATTCAATGCTTAAAAGGGATTTACAAGAAACACGGGGACAGACTTTTTACTAGGGTCTGTAGCAATAGGACAGGGCTAATGGCTTTAAACTAAAAGAGGGTAGATTCAGACTAGATATAAGAAAAAGTTTTATAAGAGTGCTCTCTGAGGCAACACCAGAACAGGTTGCCCAGAGAGGTGGCAGATGTGCCACTCCTGGACCATTCCAGGTCAGGTTGGACAGTGCTCTGAGCAACCTGCTCTAGCTGAAGATGTTCCTGCTCATTGCAGGGGGGTTGGACTAGATTATTTTTGAAGGTCTCTTCCAACCCAAACTATTCTATGAGTCTGTGTCTATATCTTAAAGCAAAGCAGGATGTTTTCATATAACACCCTTCTGCTTGGCAGAGAATAGAGCTGTTTACTTCCAAGAACATCCTATAAGAGCTCTGAAGATGTTAGCAATCCTCACCACAGACAAGATCTGCACAGCTTGCCATGCCTAGATGCCTGTCCCGCGCAGATGTAAAGTTATCTATGCTATCCCCCTTTTTTGCCTCTCTTGTTATATCCAATAAATGTCATTTTAATCAATGTTAAGAATCCAAGCACCTTTCTTATGGAGATCTATAACAAACACTTGCACTAGTGTGCTACACCTGTTCAGACATTACTTTCTTATGTGTTCCAATTATCGGAATGATAACATGGAAAGAAACAGACTTTTTTGAACTTCTTCCCACAAACAGACTAGAGAAGAAAAATCAGTGAGAAAGAGATACATGCAGAAGTAAATACAATAGAAGCCAGTTAAACCCAGAAGCAGATGGAAAGCAGAGGAGTACATTATATAAAAAAACCAAACAAACAAACAAAAAACCAACCAACCAACCAAAGAAAAAACAAACAAAACCCAAACCAAAACTCAAAATCAAAAAAAGCCCCCCCGCCCAAACCAAATACCCCCAAACTCAAAGCACCCAACAAAACCAGCACAACCCTGGGGTTCAGGTTGGGTTTTTTTTATTTTTATTTTTTTGTTTCAGTAGTAAGATAGATTATCACCTAAACCAAGCTCTTCCACATGGCAAGTTCAGAACCTCACCAAATGAGAGCTGTGAAATATGGTCCCAAATAAACCAACATCATTAATAAAGCCACACAAGTCAGGATTTCATAAATATCTTCCTATTCTCATGTAGCCTCCTGAAACTTAACTGAAAAATTGAACTATCTGGTGGTAAAGATACCTACCTCCAAATGTTTTAGAAGCAATAATAATCAGGTAAGCTAGTATCACAACTCCCTATACATTTCAGTATCACACAATGGAATCCTTCATTTTAATTTGATTTACTGAAACAGCAGCACATGAAGAGATCATTAGATTACTTCAATTACTAACATGCAAACCGATACATCATCTTGTACATACATGCACAAAGAAGCAAGGTTCTGAGGCTCATTTCTAAGCTGCAGCCAAAACTGGCTCCATGAACAGCAGCTGCAATCACAGCTACTTGTAGTCACCTTTAGGAATTTCCAAAACTACTAAACCCAAATTACAAAGATACTCCATCCATGTACACTGCAGTTGTAAAACCTGTCATGTTGCCTCATAACATCAAAGACCTGCTACAGACAAGCTTATTTACCAAGTTTCACCTCTGCACAAGAGAGTTCACCACACTTTGAGAACTGATTTTGTAAACCTTTATCACTATGACCCATGCAGCAGCTGCACTATTCTGGCTTTTTATAGCTATTGCCAAGTTGGTTAAATCAACAGAGAAAGAGGAAAGTTTAGCCTGTAGGAGAGAGCAGCTCAAACTGTTCCCAGCACACTACACTACTTGAGTTGTAAACACTGATTATTTCTCTGGGCAGCACTTGGTGACAGCTCTAACTCTATGCTGCTGAGATACACAAAGTGGGCACTGCTTTACCCAAAGGAAAAAGTAAAGGCCGTGGAAGTTCTTCTCTTCAGCTGTGTACCCTCGTGAAATAACAAGTCTTTTCCTATCTGTGAGTAGTATTACTCCTGAGGTTTCTCATTTTTATACCTTCATCTCTGCAAATCTTGCCATAACTACCTACCCAATAACTGGCTTCCCCTGAATCTAACTAATGGTACTTTTATTATAAAAGTATGGTGGAAAGTCCATTACAGTGCAAAATCTTATTTGTTTTTAACCCTAAAACCTGATTTTTATTTTTCCCTGCCATGGGCTATGTAGCATAAAAAGTTACATGAGTAACAAAGAAGCAGAAAAGTATTCCTCAAAACAAAGAGATGAATTAAAACAAATTGGTATTAGTACGGTAAAGTAGTTAAAAATCCCACCAGGCTGTATGTGCCTACACATTCACACACATGCATATTGACTTGTGAGAGATATATACCAGATACAGCTTGTGTACATATACACAAGACATCCATCCCTTAAATGCAGATGCCAGCGTTTAGTGGTCAGCCACAGGCAAGCTCCAGGTCACAAGTTTACCCGTGTAATCTGCAACCAAGGTTTCGCACTTAAATCAATCACTGACTTTCTTTAAAACATGGCACATGATCCTGATACAGTTGCAGCTCTTTTGACGTCAGCATTCAAGTTCCAGGTCTTGGACTGTCAAACAGATTCTGTAAAATAATTGTAAACGTCACAGCACCCAAATAAAGCCCCCAGAGGCCTAGACCCAGACGCAAGCAACGGAAGTAGTGTTGCCTTTCACATTAATCAATATTTACACAGGTAACAACTCAAGATATGAGTGATCAATTCTGCCAAATCTGATTCTCAGCTAGAGCACCTGTGCAGCTAATAATTTCTGCCATGGGCTTGCACACACAACGTAAAGACAATTCTACTTGTGCTAGCCAGTATGGGCAACTTGCAGAGGCTCCCACAGGGTGGGGGTTTCTGTTTGCTTGTTTTTCGCTGGCAAGTTGTGGCCCTTGCATGATGTTACAACACTCTATCTGTTCTTCCTTACCATTCATCAAGACATGCAGCCTTCTCCAATGAGAAGTCCCCATTTCCCCCAAAATACTCTTCAGGGTATAACTTGGTAACATCACTAATGGTTCATTCACCTGGTTAAGCCACGCGTACATCCTTGTTTGTGTCACTCCTCTCACAATGCCCTAATGCTAGTTCCTCAAAAGGCAGCTTTCCAAACTGGAATTGGTCATTTTTGTTAACAGCCCAGGGGCCTCTGTCACAACTTTATCACTGTCTGCTCTTGCAGACACCGTGCTGGGGTTTTTTAATCAGCAGCTCGCTCCACAGTTAGACTTTCTCAGAATATGTGCACATAATGCTTTCTCAACTAC